TTGCAGCTAATTCCTTTTCCTGCTCTCAGATCCAGGCAACTACTAATCTCCTTTTTGGGTCTAGAGTTGGCTTTTCTGGACATTTCAAACAAATGGAACTGTATAGTATGTGGCCTTCATTTCTGGCTTTTTTCGCTTAGCACAATGTTTTTGCTTATCCAGATTGTAGCAGGGATCGGTACTTCATTCCTTTTTATTATTGAGTAGTATTCCATTTGAATGGATGTATCACATTATCTCTTTCTATTCACTGGACCAATTGATGGACATTTGAGTAGTTGCCAATTTTTGGCTATTGTGAATAATGCTGTTATGAACATTCATGAGCAAAACCTTGAGTGTTCATGTTTTCATTTCTCTTGGATAGATACCTAGAAAAAAAATTGTTAGGTTACATAGGAGATAGTTTTTAAAGAAATTGCCAAACTGTTTTACAAAATACCTGCACCATTTTACTTTCCCACCAACCTGTATGATGAGGTTCTGGGCGTTCCACATCCTTGCTAACATTTACTCTTATCTGTCTTTTTAATTATAGCTCTTCTAGTGGGTGTAAAATGCTTTCATTGTCATTTTAATTTGTCTCTCCCTAATGACTGACTTTGAGCATTTTTTCTTGTGCTTTGTAACGATTCATTTATGTATCTTCATTGATGAGATATGTTTCCAATCAATTGTCCATTTTAAACAATTGGGTTGTTATTATATTGTTGATTTGTAAGAGTTTGTTGTATATTCATGATACAAGTCCTTTATCAAATGTGATTTCACAGTATTTTCTCTAGGTCTTTAGTTTGTCTTTTCATTTTCCTATGCTATCTTTTGAAAAGCAAATTTTGAATTTCAAAGAAGTGCAATTTACCAATTTTTGCTTTTAAGGTTCATTCTCAGTGGTGGTTTTTGAAAGGAAGAAATTCAATAGTTATGTATATAACAGGGGTATCTTTCATTTGTATTTTGGTATTTGTGAAGATTGCTCCACTTTCATGTATAACTGTTCAAGAGGCCTTGTTCTGGAAACATTCAGAATGCTGTGTATAAATAGAAATGATAAGCATTATCCATCCTTGTTTGAATGCCAACCAGTACATAGTCATTGGCAATGCACTCTTTGTGTGGCTCTTTCGACAGTTTAGTTTCTTGTTAGTTAATGAAAATGTCCCTTGAAAAGAATAGCAATTCCCAAGGCTCTGTGGAATGTGGTTTTTCTGAGGTTGGCACTTTTTTTTAAGGATTTATGTCTCCAATATCAAGGATATCCAGGAAAAGCATCACTGAATCTGTTGATAGCCTTACTTTGAACTTTTCCAGGCAGAGGAGCATCTTTAAGAGATTCCATTTATTTTATGGGTATGGACTTAGGGTGCTGAGACTAGGTAGATAAATCATAATGGGCATGCATATATTAACTGGTTTTTGTTTTGTTTTGTTTTGGTGGTCTAGTATTATACCAGGTTGCTTCTCTGTGCTATCATAAGTTGGAGATAGTATAACATAGCAGAATGGACTACTGTCATCTAATGTTAGAAGACAAGTAGCATGAATTATTTTAATTGGTTTTTATTTTTTATGACAAATAGACACCATTTAAAAGCTCCTCTCTGGTAGTCAACAAATATTTATTGAATATGTATTGTGCAAGGTACTATCTACATGTGATGACTTCCACATTTTTATCTCCAACCTGGCCTTCTTCCCTGAAGTCTAGATTTCTATTTCACAACTTATTCAACTTGAATGTCTAATGGACCTGTCAAAAACTGAGCTCCTGATTCCCCTCACCCCACTCAACCACCACCACAAAAAGTTGCTCCCCCTCATGTCCTTCCCCATCTCATTTAATGTTAACTCTCTCCTTCAAATGCTCAGGAAAAAATTTGGTTGACACCATAGACCCAATTCATCACAAGTTCTAGTGGCTCTAAACAGAATATGAAACCCAGGATGAGATTCCTGCATAGAAAAGGGACATTAGGGAAAAAACTCAGAAACTCTGAATGAAGCAAGGAGTTTAATATCAGCGTTAGTTCATTAATTGTGACAGGTGTAAGGTGCTAAAAATAGGGGAAATTGGGTACAGGGCATTAGGAAACTTTTTGTACTATCTTTTCAGTTTTCATCTTTTTTTTTGTAGATCTAAAACTACTCTAAAATAAACCAGTTTATTAAGAAAAAAAAAAGAACAAGGTGCAGATTCTGCTGTTTTCTGGTTCCTTGGAACCTGTGGCTGGTTTGCTGGAACAGAGGGGATGGAAACTCTGATCCTGTTGTTTGGATGGTCTAGGTGAAAATTATAGTCGAATCAGCAGAAGGCCACACACGTTGTTTTCTTTGGCAAGAGATTTGTCATTTTATCAGTTTATCATTTTTCACAGTTTAACTACCCTAAGCAAAATTGACAGCCTCAAATCAATTGCCATTTCATAACAATTTTGTTGAATAATCTGTCTTTAACAAATGCCTAATTTTGTTTAGTTACTCCTCCAAAAGGACAGTTCTCCAATCCTAGAAAAACACCAGTTTTCCTTTATAAAGATTTTGCTATAATTTTTATATCCTACTCAAAATGGAAACATGTATTTTTATATTGTATAGAACACATTGATCTGAATTAAAAATAAGAACTTTTTTCCTTTTGGAAAAGTAAGCACTTACAGGCTACTGTTGGGCTGGGGAGTGGAGGAATCAGCTAAAACTCTGAAAAGGTGAAAATTTTCCAGGTCTTGAAGAACTGTATGATCGTCTGTATTACTAGTTCTATTTTCTAAGCAGCCAAGGTTTCAAAAGATCTCTCTTATTCTAGTTGTGTATGTTCAAAGTATCACATGTACAAACAAAGGTGGCTGTGGGATTCCCACACCCAGAATCCTCTTGGCTGGGAATGAGCACTTAAGTCATCACGAGTCTAAAAGGGGTAGAAGAACAGGGCCAAAGACAAATGCAGTTTGGTAATTCTGAGAGTATTACCACACTGATGAGAAGAAAAGGTGAAGGTGATATTTCATCCACTGTTCCCAGTACATCCTCTCCTTACCTGACCTCTGAAATGGAGCCATTGGCCTTGAAAAGCCTGGTGTCTAAAATTAATATTCTTCCCCATCTGACTAAGAAGGCAACAGCTGAGCAACATGAGATCAAGGACCATATTAATTTAAACAGGGGCTCAAAGTGGCATTTGAGAGAGAGGATACTTCCTTTCAGAGTGGACACTTGTCTTTTCAGAAGACTTATACCGACTGAGAGTAAAGACCTTTACCAGAGAATTGTGTAGTCTTACTGAACTCTGTGAAACTTTCTGTTATCTGCTGGAAATCATACTCTGCACTTGAAGTGGTCCAAACCCTAGGATGTCCTCCTATAAATGGTAATTACTCTATTTTAAAACATTGTTATAACCTCTCACACCTTTTTCTCTTTCTATGTTGCCTTAAATAACAAGTTGTACCAAGCTCTATGTACTTAACATTTAATATTTCTTTGCAAAATTATTATATCTTGTATCTGTTTTCTTTTTAATATGTTAATTTTATGTGGCTTCCTGATCCAATGTGAGTACCATCTGCAATTATATATTATAGTTAAGTCATAGTTTGCCTTAGAAATAGCCATGTATCTGTCTCTTTATTTTAATAATGACTTTTGTTTCAGAGCAATTTGAAGGAATGCTAGTATTGATCTAGGTTGTATTGAACTCTGGTTGATGCAATTCACATTTTAATGTTTTTGAAGTAAGGTGTTTGTGTAGCTAAGTAGAATTTTGTAGAGCATTGATTTTTAATAATTTGGAACTCAAGGTATGTATAAGTTTTACTTTATGAGTTAAGAAAATAAAAATAAGTTTTGTGGAGATAAATGCAGATGATATTAAATGGAGCAAAAGCTGGAAGCAGTTTTCAGAACATCTCCAGCAGGGGGCCTCAGCAGTCGGCGGTGGGGTACCAGGGGCAAATTCAAATCAATCTCTTTCTCCCCAAGCCCCCTACCATCAAGTGTGTGGACACATACCTATGTGTAGATCTCTAGTGTTGAAGTAGTATTAGGTGTACTACTTAATTTGTAATGAAAATATTTCAAGGAAAGCACAAGGACTTGAACTCCTTGATAACTAGTGGTTAATGACAATGCAAAGAAAGCTTTCTGGGTATTTTATCTGTGTGAGAGGGCTGGAAGGAAATTTCTCCTTCTTTTTTTCTTATGGTTATTTATTTATTTGTTTTGGGGCAAGGGGAGAAGCAGAAAAAGTGGGAGAGAGAAAGAGAATCCCAAGCAGGCTCCTTGCTGTCAGCGCATGAGGGGAGGCTCCATCTCGTGAACTGTGAGATACTGACCTGAGCCAAAATCAAGAGTTGGACTTGGATGCTTAACCACCTGAGCCATCCAGGTGCCCCAGGATATTTCTTGTTTAAAATAAACACCAAACATTTCTGATGTAGGCAGAAAACAGCTCTCTGGAAATGGCTCATTTGGTGGAGATCACTCTCCAGAGGGGGACAAAATTCCCAGGAAAACACGAGAGACCCCTCCCACAGGAAGGAGTCCTTCCCTTCCGAGGGTGGGCTGCAATACCAGTTAACCTCAGTGAAACTTTATATTCTATATTTAACCTGGTCACTTGATATAAATCTTATTTTATGCAATGAGGGAAATATTTAGTCACCCATTGAAAATGAAGTTTGCTTCTTACTGTTTGCTTCAATAGGAAAAGGTGGGGGAAAGTCCTTTTTTCTTTCTAAGTCCTAGAATTTGAAATTTGATATTAACATTAGCATTTCTCTTCCTAATTTTGGATCTTCTTTCCAGTTTAAATAGAAGGGACTTCAAAATTCTCACTGGTCATTTCCCCCAAAAGTCAAATATATGAGTAAGTGATGAGAACTTTTGTTTCCTTTTTTTTTTTTTACAGTCAAGAGGAAGGCACACTCAGAGCTCATGATTGTGTCTTATTTTACAAATCGGAGACAGAGGGAGATGAAAACCACACTCCAGACAGTAACTTAATCAGTCTCACCACCAAGATGTTAAAAGTGAAGAGGCTGGAAGAAATCAACACATGTTATAACAGTAACAAACTGGAGAAAATGGCCTTTTTACACTGCATGGAAAAGGTTGAGAAAGTGAAATGTTTTCTGGAAGAAAGTTCTAGTGAACAGGATTCAAGATCCGGAAAGAATGAGGTAATTATGTGCTAATTTAGTCTTGTAAAAAGTATCAGCGCTACTTTATCTATTCTTACATGAATCAGTAAATGTAGCCATTTATCAGACTCCTCAAATTTTATTTTTGTCACTTGTGTGAAGAATTAAGGAACGTTTATGGGTAAGAAATTTTCGTTTTGTTTCACTGAAGATTATGTGTTGTAGATGATATGACTGAGTTTGGTAAGTAATCTAGAGGCCTTTGATAATGCATCTCTACTAGCTGGATACTCCTCATTGTGGTTAGTGGCTTTGACATTATAAAACTGAAGTTATGGAAACACATCTTTTTTGAGAAGGATCATTTAAAAGGATGGATTTGGCCATGAAATTCAGAGAAGCACTATGAGGGGCACAATCACTCTGCAGAAGAAGTTTCTAATATCCTTAAGACCTTGAGCTCCTCACAGTATAGGTGACATAGCTTTTGACAGTTATGGTCAGAGACAGGGACAAGCAAGCCTTCCCTGAGGGTTATGTCTGTATCTTCATTTGTGCACAATGAGGCCCTGAACCTGATTCGGGCTACTTTATCTTTGGCGATCAAGATCTTAGCCAAGCGGCTGCCTCATCAGAGTAATGGGATGATGTCTGTTGAGGAAGTTATGTGTGATAATGTATAAAAAGCATGTAGCACAGTATCTGTCACCATGGTCAGCATTCGAGAAATGCATTCCAGCAACAATCTGCTCTCCTACCTTGACTTAGTCAGTTGCCACTCATGGATCCATGGATGTGCAGCTCCTGGCCCAGCCGATGGGCCCTCTCAGCATGTCGTCTGTGTCTTGTTCTAGCAATTGTTTTGAACATCTGTCACCTTTCTCTAGGCACTGCTCTTCAAGGTCAAGACCTTGAATCACTCACACTTGGACTCTCGGTTACTGTCCTGGTAACTAGCACAGAATAGGTCCCCAAAATGCCTGTGAAATGAAACAGATCTATGGAGGTGAATTCTGTATTCTGATGAAAGGCTAAGAATGATTATTTTTAAAAATGAGAGCAGGTGATTCTTATTAGGCAGGATTGGGAAACATCCTTCTTTGTTCAGCTACTGTTCTGAGAACCACTGTTTGGATAGGAAAGACATTTCTAACTGTTCCATGAATAATGAATAGGGGTGTTAAGTATACAAGGCGGAAGAGTCTTTTCATTGTCAGTGAGTATGGAATGATAGAATGTGCCAGAGAGAAGAAATTAGTTGGGTTAAATCTTAGGTTTTTTGAGACCTCCACTTTCCCTATGAGTCAATATCTTGCTCAGTATACACCAAAAAGAAATTTCCACAGGCAAAATTGAAGCCACATATGAAGGACTTCTTCTTTAGGGCTGTTATAACAGAAATAAATAAACAGAAAGATTCCTTTTTCTGTTCATTAATTTCGGTAGGACAGAGAAAACAAAGCAATCTTCTTGGATAACTTTGAAATAACCAACTACTGGTAATACTTGATAAGAATTTGATTATTTTTCCAGTATTGTTTTTCTCTGGGTTCTGTGCTATAAATTTTACAGGTAGGAAATATCTTTGAAGAGTGAGATAGTGCTAAGGTGAAACAGAAACATTATTAGGTAGAATTGTTTTCATGATAAACTATTCCAGAATATTAAAAATCACATGATTTGGAAATTAAGTATTTTAGGATATTTTTGAGGAAGAGACTGAGAATGTTGTTCTTCAGAAACCCTAAAAGAACATCCTTTGCACCTATTCTGATATCCTGTGTGACGTGGGCCTCCTGGCTTCGCTTCTGCAGTGGATGCTGTGCAGAAGGTGTAAAGGAATGACTGGTTGCTCCCTATGTCCCATTCAGTTTCTTCTTTGTAAATGGCTGAGGGCCCAGAGATGTCAGCAATAAATTTGCCTGTCTCTCTCTCTTGCTGTGGCGGATGGATGGGACACAAATAGGAGACACAGAGCTCTTCTTCTTTCTGTGGCTGCCAAGACCAGAGTGTTGGAGGCTCTGGTTTGCCCAGTCAGTGAGTGCCAGGGTCGGGAGCAGGTTTTGGCAGTGAGTGGGTGGAGAAGGGCGTTCGAGCAGCTCAGATGTCTGCAGGTATGTAGACAGAGCTAAATTGACATGTCTCCATCTTCTGCTGCGGCTCCAGTAAATCTTCACAATATCAGTCTTTTCTCTCCAGGGACTGTATAAAAAAATGCCTGTCATAATTTGCCATAAGTGGAGAAGGCCTATTCTCCTTTCTCTTCTTTTCTTTCTCTTTTTGAGGAGATTAGCATTGCTGATCACAGTAGAAAACTTGACTGTGGTGCATTAAAAAGAATTTACTCTGAATTTCAGGTACACTAGTGAGGTGGGAGCTTTGTTTTAAAAGTTTGAGGTTAATTTCTTTCTAGAAGAGTCTTTACTCCCTAGTCCAGGCTCATTAAACTCAGATTCATTCTCTTTTCCTGCTCTTAACCAGATTTTTCTATCTCACTTATTTTCCCTCCACTAGATTAATTTTAACTATTTTCTTTCTTTTCCTCTATTTTTTGTTGAAGTTGCTAAATACCACATCTTCTGCTTTTCTACTATGTTTTGTTCACTTTCTTTTTCTACTTCCCTTCTTATTCTGTTTTCTAATGACTTTTCATATTGTATTATATTCTAGAGGGTATTAAAAATCACCTAAAACTGTAGAATTTTAAAAACTTAGCAGATATGCCATAATAAGTCAGTTCTAAACCTACATATTATAGTGTTGAAATCAAGTAAAACAAACAAAAAAAAAAGAATCTGCTGTATATGAGGGATGAGCTTACTAGCTATTGTGTATATAACATTAACTCATAAATGATAAATGACTCTCATAACTCTAAATAGTTTAACTTATATATAATTAAATTCAAATTTTCTTCTTTTGTGAGTTCTCTATTACCCATATAAATAGCCCCCTGCTATGTTTTCCTCAGATATAATTTACTGTTTAGCGCGCACGCGTGCACACACACATACCACACACTTTGTTTGTTTAATAAAAGACAAAAGGGCCAGCCTAGCAGAGTTCCACTCTTCTGCTTCATTCTGTCTGCCTCCCTTTGCCTGCCTCTATTTACTATACATACCTACTTTTTATGCCCAAGGTTATCTATGCTCACATTCTTGTCCTTTGGCTTGCCCCTGCCCTCCCGAATAACTCTGGTTCCAATTCTCCATCTGAAAGGCTTTGTCCCAACCAGGGGAGGAAGGCAAGGCTGTGGGTGTAGAAAATAAGAATGGCCCTAACAGAGGTGGAATGTTTAAATGCCTGGTGCAAATGCTCTAAAGAGCAAACAAAATAAAATATTTATTGACAGGATGTGAATAGGATAGAGTGGGTGGGAGCAGTGTGGATCTCCCTATTTTGATTGCAGTTGGTGTGCTTAATAGCAGGTGGCATTTCCTGACTAACCACTGTGAAATTGTACCATCAGTGGTGTTCATAATGACTTACTTAGATATCAAAATAACATAGCTGAGGGTGGAGGTTTTGTGATTTTTAAGGTTGCATTTCCCCACCCCCATCTCTTTACTCCTCGCCCACAAGGGCAGGAGAAAGCTCCCTGGCAGTGGCCCGGCCATCAAGGCAGATGCCAGTTTCTGTGGTGCTAATCGTCCTTGAACTGGGGACAAGAGAATTCAAGTTGGTGTCAACTGTCACCAGCAGATCTCTCTCTGCCCCTGCAGCTGTTTCAGATCTGTCACACAGGCCATCATATTTTTCCTTTTAAAGAGGCAGATTATCTGTTGATCGCATAACGGGAAACACGTATCGCAGGACCCTACAAGAACCTCTGCAATTTGGCAACGCCTACTCCTCAGAACAGAGCATGTAATAAGCATGTGCTTGGAAACGTGCTCATGCTAGATTAGGGGAGGGAAGGAGCATATAAGCCAAGTGACTGCTATAGCTGCTCCCAGAGAATGGACTTAGCACTTAGAAGAAAAGGCATCTGGATTGTAGGTAGTGTGTGCCTTATCTCATCTTCCCTTCTCTGGCGTGTGTTCCGGTCCATGATGACACGAGAAGGTCACAGACAGGCTCCTGCTCTTGAGGACACACAGGTAGTAACATCACTTTTAACTACAACAGATTCATTTTACTGTTTTATTTACTGTTCTATTTCCAACCAGGGAGTGGTGCTTGCCAGAGGAGACGGAATGCATGTTCCGTCTTAATCCTTGCCCGAGACTACTGCCTTAGGAGGGGTTGGGATAATAACAGTGGCATGTGGCACATTTCAACATTCCAAACACTTGCCCCAACTTTCGGGGAACCTCAAAGCGGCCAGTCCTGGTGCATCTTAAAGTTGGCGATCTATTTTTGTTTTGAGAACTGAATAATGTCAACATCTCTTCATTGCCTTACTATTATATGACTTAATAACAAAATAAAATAACATAAAAGCAAAACTTCCATCCCCCTTATCATGTCTACAGCAAAAGCAGCATCTGAAGAGTGATTGCCTCCCCAGGGAGAGCTAGCTCACATAGCCTATATGCTCTTTCTTTTGAACTGTTGCCCGATAATGCCTTTCACATGATGCCGCAGCTATTCCAGGAATGGAATTCAGCCAGGAGAATAGTATAATTCTGAAAGAAGAGAAATAATTCAGATTCTAAGGATTTTAGCAGTTCCCAAGAGAGGGTTTCTGCATCTGGGGAAACAGCTCTTTCCAAGGATATAATTCTTTTATCAATTAGCCTAACGTACGTTCTTTTCAATGCAGTGTAAACCAGTTTGGAAGATACTGTAGAAACCAGCCTGCGTCATAGGAAGGGGATATACAGCAGTGTCCCTCAGCTTTGTTTCATTACCATCTACTCCTCTTACAGTGATTTCAGGCTTTTCTCCCACTAGTGGAACCCTTCCCGTGAAATCTGAACACCACAGGTATACTGTTACCTGTTTACATATGATAGGTCAGCCTGTGCTTTATACATAAAAGGAATAAAGTTTTTTTTCACCCTACCTAAAGATTTATACTCCTTCATTAAGAA